TAACGGCTGCCGGCCGGCTGGGCTTCTCTCTGTTTTAGAGAGAAGCGAGAGAAACTTCTCTCTCTCAGAGAAGAGAGAGAGAAGGAAAATGAAAAATGAAGGCTGGCCCTTCGGGCCAGTCGGTTTTGGACCATATATAGTCCTTCCCGAACGACGTCGTTTCGGGAAGGACTATGCGCGTAATTAAACAATAGTTAAACCCCGTCCGCAGTCCTCCGAACTTGTAAACTTTACATTTTAGTCACTAAATTGAATTTATAATATTTTTAATTCAGTCTTCGAATTTTAATTTTTTTTATTTTAGTCCTTTTTATTAAAATAATATATTTAGGATAAATAACAGATTTAATCCCTCAATTTTAATAAATAAGATTTCAATCCTTAGTTTATTTTTTTTATTATAATATCCGAATTTTAGATAATTTATTTTAGTCACTAAATTATTAAATAAAAAATAGCATGTTTAATCCCTATAATTTTTGTTAATTATGAATTAGATTTTTAATTTTATTTTTACTGTAATTTAGTCAGTTATTTTATATGTTTTCATTTTTTTTATTGTTTTTAAATATATTGTTTTAGTAGTATGTTTATTATATGAATAAATATTTTTATATATTCATATATATATAATAAATAGTAATTTTTAAAATATTTATTTTAATATCGAAGAAAAGGACAGTCTTAAAACAACTGGATGTCCTATTCTGATGTTTTAAAATTAAAAATTAAACAATATTATTTAAAATTTATCAATATCAAAGAAAAAAGCTGTCTTAAGGCACCTAGAAGTTCTTTTCTGATATTTTTAAATAAATAAATATTTTTTATATAATTTTGAAATAATAAGATTATAAATTAAATATATTTTTGAATTTTTAAATTTTAATAATAAGAGACAATTTATAATTAAAAAGTACCAATTTTGGGCGTTGTAGGGGTGCTAATCCTTCCCTAAACGTAACCGACCACGAATCCCTTTTTATTAAGAACGAATTTTTGGTTATAAAACGCAGATCAGTTCATTTTTTTAATTGATGTTTTTTTAAAAAACTCTTTTAAAAGAAAAATTTTTTTAGGTATTCGACCTACCTGATCCAAAAGGTCGATGGCGACTCACAAATTATTTTCAAAATTATTTATTCACATCAATTTCCCCGCCAAATTTAAAATTTCGTGCCCGGACGAAAACCGGTTACGACAGCTTGGCGACTCTGCTGGGGAAATTGTAAACTTTACATTTTAGTCACTAAATTGAATTTATAATATTTTTAATTCAGTCTTCGAATTTTAATTTTTTTTATTTTAGTCCTTTTTATTAAAATAATATATTTAGGATAAATAACAGATTTAATCCCTCAATTTTAATAAATAAGATTTCAATCCTTAGTTTATTTTTTTTATTATAATATCCGAATTTTAGATAATTTTATTTTAGTCACTAAATTATTAAATAAAAAATAGCATGTTTAATCCCTATAATTTTTGTTAATTATGAATTAGATTTTTAATTTTATTTTTACTGTAATTTAGTCAGTTATTTTATATGTTTTCATTTTTTTATTGTTTTTAAATATATTTTTAGTAGTATGTTTATTATATGAATAAATATTTTTATATATTCATATATATATAATAAATAGTAATTTTTAAAATATTTATTTTAATATCGAAGAAAAGGACAGTCTTAAAACAACTGGATGTCCTATTCTGATGTTTTAAAATTAAAAATTAAACAATATTATTTAAATTTATCAATATCAAAGAAAAGAGCTGTCTTAAGGCACCTAGAAGTTCTTTCTGATATTTTAAATAATAAATATTTTTTATATAATTTTGAAATAATAAGATTATAAATTAAATATATTTTTGAATTTTTAAATTTTAATAATAAGAGACAATTTATAATTAAAAAGTACCAATTTTGGGCGTTGTAGGGGTGCTAATCCTTCCCTAAACGTAACCGACCACGAATCCCTTTTATTAAGAACGAATTTTTGGTTATAAACGCAGATCAGTTCATTTTTTAATTGATGTTTTTTAAAAAACTTTTAAAAGAAAAATTTTTTTAGGTATTCGACCTACCTGATCCAAAAGGTCGATGGCGACTCACAAATTATTTTCAAAATTATTTATTCACATCAATTTCCCCACCAAATTTAAAATTTCGTGCCCGGACGAAAACCGGTTACGACATAAAGAAAATATATAAAATATATAATAATTTAAAATTTTCCGAAGACGATCATTCCTAGTTGATTGATCATTAAGTCTATATAAATATTCAGGATTGATATTTTAGTAAAAATGAGGGTATAATTTTCTATTAAATACACCATTTCAAGGTAAATTCAGGCCAATTTTGTTGGCGCCGAAATTATTTGGCCAAAAAGGGCACCCAAGATTTTATTTTGACATCTACAACAAATTTTACAATGTTGGGCAAACTCGTCACCTTGAGGTGACGAATTTTTTTAAATATTATTTTTAATGGGCCCATTCATGTGGGTTCACGTATAGTATTTTTTTAATATATCCAAGCGAACTCGTCACCTCGAGCTGACGAGTTCTAATAATATATATATAAATAATATAAATCATTCTAAATATAATTTCAAAAAATAGGAGGAACTCGCCATCTCGAGGTGGCGAGTTTCATGTGAATTTGAAAAATATTGTCGTTGTTGAACGTTGGACAACGACTACGTTCAAAGGTGACGAGTTCCCCTCAACTAATCATTTATGGATTTTGAGTCTATTTTTAGTATAAATAAGTGTTTGAGTCTTGTACTGTGATTAGTTGAGAAGAAACAATTTGTGTGAGAAAAGAAATTGAGTTTTAAGATTTATGCGAGGAAAAAATCGATGAAAGCCTTAAATACATTATAATCATCAACTATTGGCGTGTCGTCATCTCCCATCAATGAAACAACAGTTTCATGATCCTTGCTAAACTCAACAAGACTTTCACCAAACTGCATCATCTGCACCACTTTCGTCGGGTACAGATGTCCTAATTCTTTTGTTGCGGGTGAAGCTGCTGAAAAGGTTGGAACATCAAATATAGTTGTCATTTCAGCATAAAATCTCGATCATAATATTATTTGAGGATTGATGCAGTTAAACCATAAAAGCAATATCATCATCATCGTCGTCAAGTTGAACTATTTCGTGTATAACTGGATTTTTTTCTCACACAATTTTTTTCTTAAATAATTTTTTTCTCAACAAATTACAATACAAACCCCTAAACTCCAAACACCTATTTATATTAATAGGAACTCGTCATCTCGAGGTGACGAGTTTCCCTTAACTAGTCGTTTTATGGTCGTTTGAATGTAGTCGTGGTCCAACGTTCAACTTACGATTATATTTTTCAAATTGACTTTGAAACTCGTCACATCGAGGTGCCGAGTTACATCTATTTTTTTAAATATTTATATTATTTTAATTATAAAAATTAAATACATATATTCTATTAAAACTCGTCACCTCAAAGTAATGAAATAAATAGTATATAATAAAAAAAATCCTATATGCGGGATAGATCCGTTAATATCTAAAATGCTAAGGTAACGAGTTTACCAACATTATAGCATTTGTTATGGATGTCAAGAATGAAATCTTAAGTATCCTATTGAGCTAAATAATTTTGGCGCGAACAATATTGGTCCATTTTGAGCTCATTGCGTTGGCATGTATTTGTTTGAGATGGAAGAGCGTTTTAAGGAAAAATACGGTAGTATATTAACTAAAATAGTTAATAATGTACTGTTAGCTATTTTAATGAATTAGTGATATTGTAAAATATTATTTGAGAATAATATTATAAAAATAAGTAATTAAATTATATTAAATTAAAATATATGAATTAAATTTTTAATTTAAATCTAATAGAGCGTCCGAATTATAATTTAAGGGAAAATAAAAGAAAAATTAGTTCAACAGCTCCAAGTAATCTGAGTGAGGTGAGAGTTTCCAAAATAAAATAAAAAAACCTGAGGGGAGAAGGAACAGAGACGTAACACTGTCCAAACAAGTGTCGCAAGCCAATTACTCAAAATGTTCATGCGGATTCAAACTGTTTCACTGTAACAATAAAAGCTCAGATCTTAAATGCACTGACTAGATAGAATCCTATGTGGGGTAACAATTTGTGTTTTTTATTCTCTTAGGTATATTCATCACTCAACTATCTTATTATTCATATTTCAGTTATTAAGATTTAATAATTTTTAATTTAATCACTAATATTTTGAATGGTTCCTATTTAGTCACTCTCACACTTACTTATTTTTTTACGATATGACCTATTATATTAATGTTTAGGGTGTGTGGTTATGGATAACTTACTTTCTTTCTATGAAGAAGAAGTGAGGGTCAGGTCATTGATGCAGTAAAGGAGAGTCGAAAGTGTTGTCGTCATGGTGAGGATGGGGGTCGTAATTTAGGACTCAAGATTTATGTACATGGTTTTAGGGTTTAGTTTAGAGTTTAGGGGTTGGATCTAGTTTTCATTTTTATTTTATTTTTATTTTTATTTTTATCTCCTATGGAAAAAATATTAATATAATATGCCACCTAATATAGAAATATTAATAAAATAAGTTAGAGGGACTAAAATAGGAAAAACTCAAAAGTTGAGTATTATATTAAAAAGTTTTAAATTGAAGTGACCAAAATGAAAAACATAAGATAGTTTAGTGATGAATGGTGTAGATTACCCTTGTTTTCAACCTTTTTAATAAGGAAAAAAAAAGTGAACGTGCCTTTTCATGAAAAACATTGTGGGGGACAGACAGGTCCAAGGGGCGAACCTCAAACATAATACCAACCAACAAGTACACGAAAAAGGAGAAACATTGTGGGCGGGATCAAAAGACCAAAACCCCTCCTTCATCCGTTGGTTCATTTTGAATTTCAAAACACTCAAGCAAGGTTGCCTTGCCATTGGATCCTCCTAAAACCCACAATCCTTAGGCTCTCTTTTACTCTCTTTCTTTCTAGTTTCACTTTCAGCTTCAGGTTCTTCGTTTTCTGCCAAAGCTTTGCATTTTGGTCCTTTGGGTTCTTTAAAAAAAAGGGGAAAACTTCCTTTTCTCTTTACCAAGTTGCCATCTTTTTGAGCTAGTTGAGATTTCATAGCTTGAACTTTCGATGGGTGCTTCAGGGAAATGGGTGAAATCTCTTATTGGTCTCAAGAAGACCGAAAAAGAAGACCAGGTAAGCTCTGGGTTTTTTTGCTTAACTATAAGGTTACTCATTGTTACATACATTATAGCAATAAAGCTCTTTTCTTTTTTGCTGCGTAGGAAAAGGTGAATGGCAAGAGCAAGAAATGGAGGTTATGGAGGAGTTCTTCAGGGGAATTGGGGTCTTCATGGAAGGGATTTAAAGGGAAGTTTAGATCAGATTCTGAAGGGTCTGATTCTTTATCAAGGACTAACGATGCTTTCTTCACTGCAATGTCCACTGTAGTTCGAGCTCCTCCTAAAGATTTCAGGGTTATAAGGGAAGAATGGGCTGCTATCCGCATCCAAACCGCTTTTCGTGGCTTCTTGGTAAATTTGAATCCCCTTTTACTGCCATTTTATCTTTCCTTCCTGCGTTTGGTATTTGAGAAAGTGATAGAATGTGAAAGAAACTTTGCTCTTGAATCAAATTGTTGTTTAACTCCTATGTTTTATTGTTTTGTGTTGTGTTCTGCATGATGGTTGTGCTTGTTGCTAGAAATTTGGTTTCTACTGAACCAGCTTACTATTTTTGGAATCAAATTTTATGTAGGCAAGGAGGGCTTTGAGGGCTTTAAAAGGAGTTTTGAGGCTTCAAGCCTTAGTTCGTGGTAGACAAGTTAGGAAACAGGCTGCAGTGACACTTAGGTGCATGCAAGCTCTTGTTCGTGTTCAGGCTCGTGTTAGAGCTCGTCAAGTGCGAATGTCGATCGAAGGGCAGGCCGTTCAGGAGATGCTCGATGGTCTCCGCAGCAAGACCGATATCCTGAAACAAGCAGAGGTACAATTAACCAAAAGATTTATTAGATGTCGATTTGATTTGCAAAATGTCATTATTTGCTGTAAAATCTATTTTTCAGGATGGCTGGTGTGATAGCAAAGGGACACTGGAGGATGTTAAAACGAAGCTACAAATGAGGCAAGAAGGGGCCTTCAAGAGAGAAAGAACCCTTGCTTATTCTTTTGCTCAGAAGGTATAGGAGTTTGTCAAAATTTTGTACCTTCGTTTGAATCATGGAAAACGATAATTGATGGTCCTTGCATTTTCAGCAGTGGAGATCAAACACAGGTTCGACTTCCCAGACAAATAGTTCGATTCCGTATCTCAAGAATCAAGAGTTGGATAAGAACAGTTGGGGATGGAATTGGCTTGAACGTTGGATGGCAGCCAGGCCATGGGAGACTAGGTTGATGGAACTGTCCCATGCCGACCCTGCCGGATCAACTCAACCGAAAACTTGTTCCAAGTCCCTTCTAGGGAAGAATACAAGATCTTCCGAACCATACTCAGTGAAAGTCAGAAAGAACAATGTCACCACTAGGATTTCCGCAAAGCCTCCTCATTCTAGGCAAGTCACTATATCATCTTCGAGCCAAACTTCCGAATTTCATTATGATGAAAGTTCAGCTTCATCTTCAATATGCACTTCAACAACACCAGTTTCCGGAACCACTCACTTTCCATCGGATGGAACAGAGGAGAGTGGCAATAGTAGGCCAAACTACATGAACATGACCGATTCTACCAAGGCGAAACAAAGAGGTGGCAATCTCCGTAAGCAGTCCATGGACGAGTTCCAGTTCAAGAGGTTGGCTGCTCTCTGCAATGTGGATTCGAAAAGTAGTGCTGGTTCGGACCCCTTGGTTCATATGTCTCGACCACTATTCCCTCCCACACGGTTGGATAAAAGCTCAATGAGATCCAGGGACTGGGGAAATTGATTGGATGTTATTTGAAAAGTCCAACATCTTCTTGTTCATTGTTATTAACGTGTTAATGAGACCTAGTTGAGTTTTTTTTTTTATCTGGTTCTAGTGCACCATCGACTCTAGAATGATTGACTACTTAAAGCAAAATTTATGGAGATATCAGTAAATTAATTGGGTAAACTACACGGGGACTGGGGTGATTGGGTAAACTACACGGGGACTGGGGTGATTGCTAAATTATTGTCTATTTTTATTTTAATTATTGACGTGACTATCTAATTTTAATTTAATTTAAAAAATTAATACTCTAATATGTAGGAGTTACATGTCAATAGATTATTATGACATATTTTCAAATGACACGTGTTATATTATTGGAGGTTTAATTTAATTAATTTTAAATAACATTTCTCACCAGATCATACTAAGAGAGTTCCTAAGCACGTCTTTGTTATTGGGGGCAAACCATCCATTTGATTAGAAATTGCACAATTATTTAAGATTATGACATAACAAAAAGGAATCATAAAGAATGGGTAAGATATGAACCCTGGACTTTCACTTAAATTGAAAGAACTTTAACCACCAAATAACATAATTAAATATAAAATATAATTAAATAATACTTACAACATATATATATATATATTAATGACATAAATAAATCATTGAAACAAATATAATAAATAATATATATATATATATATATATTAAATTATAGTTATTGAAAGAGTTAAAAATAAAAATGAATAAATTATTTTAATATTTTAGATTAAATTATTTTTTCACAATTTTTTAAATAATTATAAATGAGAAATATTTCCAAAAAACAGTTTTGCCGAAAAAAGTTTAAGACTAAGATTATAAATTTTTTTATGATTTAATTTAGACGTTGAATTTGCTAATAATTTTTAACATAATTTTAATTTTTTAATATAATTTATATATTATTATTTAAAAATAATTTAATTTAAAAAATAAAAATATTAAACTCATTTTCACTTTTAAGTCTTTCATTAACTATAATTTAATATATGAAATATAATTTATTTATTATATTTATTTTAATAATTTTATATATATATATATATATATATATATATATATGTGTGTGTGTGTAATTTCAAACACAATACATAAAAGATTATGGAGATATTTGGCAAACAAATGATAGCTGATTTCAGTAGTTGATTTGATCAACTGATTAGAATAGTTGATTTGATTAATTGTTTATATAAAAGTGTTTGGTAAAATTTAGCTGATAGCTGATATGTGTAAAATGACAAATAAGAGTATGATACATTTAGTTGTTAAGTACATATATGTTTTATAACACTTTAGTCTTTATTGGGGTGAAATTATTTAGATAAAATGCTTTTGAGAAGGAATAAAAATTCCTTATGAAAATTAGTGAATATTTTTTTTTTGAAAATTTTGAATATATTTTTTAAATTCAATATTTACAAATATTAACTTTGTGAGATTGGTACATACTATTAGCCTTGTATAAAATATCAATACTACATTTTTTTTTACTTCATGTTTTGCTATATTTTATTAACTAAAATATATTTGAGAATCTACAACTAAAAAATAGAATAATAAAATAAAGAGAAAATAACCTCAGTGACCGAAAATGCCTTATAATATACAATTTTGACCAACTTTTTTTGATTTGCCAAAATGACCAACAAAATCGCAACGTGATCTCCAGTATCGCAAATCAGTTTCCAGATTCGCAACGCGATTTTGACTATCGCATTACGATTTTCCAAATTCGCGTTGCGATTTTAGAAAATCGCAATGCGAATATGTAAATCGCAACGCGATTCTGACTATCGCAACGCGATAATACAAAATCGCAACGCGATAATACAAAATCGCAACGCGATTCTGACTATCGCAACGTGATAATACAAAATCGTAATGCGATTTTCAAAGCGCCATTAGTATCGCAACGCGTATTTTATTTTCAAATTCCAAACACGAATATTAATATATCCCATAATCGTAACTCATAACCTAAAACCCTAAATCACAACTCAGTCCCATCTCTATCTCTCACTCTCTACGGCGACATCCGTCCCCCATCTCCGACGAAATCCGTTTATCTCCATCTCTCAGAGCCACCCTCACAATCATTCACGGTCAGAAATGGAAAATCAACCAAATCAACCACCGAGGGTTAGTTTTTTTAATTATTTTTATTTTGAAATTTTTGCATTATTATTAGGTTTTTCATATTGAAATTGATGATAAGTTTACTGGTAATTTCAATAATAGATTAACCATTTCACTTAGATTGCTTATTAAATTCATTCGATTACTGCTAATACTACTAAACTATTTAGTCTTTAACCCTGTGAAGTTAGTATTTGTCTTTGTTTTGTCTTTTGGTTGAAGTAATGTAATTCATTCAAGTTTCAATTTTAGACAATGACTATTTGAAACCGAGAATCGCAACACGAAATGAAAATCGCAACGACAAAATCGCAACGCGATTTTAGTTTCGCGTTGCGATTTTCTCGTTGCGATTTTCATTTCGCATTGCGATTATCTCGTTGCGATAGTCAAATTCGCGTTGCGATAGTCATTTTTTGTGTTGCGATTTTCATTTTCGTGTTGCGATTTTAAGTTTCAGAAACTATTATTCTTCTGCAAATTGAAACTTGAATGAATTGCATTACTTCAACAAAAAAAAACAAAGACAAATACGAAATTCACAGTGTTGCAAATTTAAGTTTGAAGAATAAACTACTACTACTCTTTATGTTTATTATTGTTTTTGGTATATCTTCACAGTTTAGTTTTTGGTATATCTAACTTGGTATGTTTATTATTTTTGTAGAACTTTTTTTCGGCTCAATTGACCTTAAGGAATAAAATAAGCCTAGTCACTACAATTGCGTCAAAGCTTTCACCTGTACAAAGAAAATTGTTTGAGGATACTTGCTTCGGGCCATGGCTGAAAGTACAACATCCGGGTGGAGATGCTATGTTGACCTATTTGTGGCTTCAGACCATGACTAGAGATCTACCCGAGAGTATAAAACGTGGTAATGAAGAGATACGGTTTCATTTTCCACCGGCGTATACGTGTTTTGGGCGGGAGGAGTTTTGCTTAATCACTGGTCTACGCTTCGGACACGATGATGTAGGTCGATACACTAGTCATATTACCCGCCCATCATGGTTATCCTGGGTTTTTCTTGAGCTGTCAATGGAGAAGCCGAATTTACACGTCGACGACTTGACGAGATTATTTAATAAGAAAGATGGTTTTACTCGGATGGATGACGTCGATATTGTCCGAGTATGCCTTTTAGTACTTTTGCATGCCGGATTTTTAGGCAGAGAGGCCAGACAACCTATTCCTAAGGACCTAATATTATTGGTAGAGGACCTAAATGCATGGAACATGTTTCCGTGGGGTTCGTATCTATGGAAAGCTACCTGGAATAAGTTGTCGTCTGCCTTTGATGACCGAAAAAGTTTGCGTGACGATGGTCCCAAATACACTTTGTCAGGCTTTATTTGGGCCTTTAAGGTAAGAATTTCTATATAGTGTTTCCAAAATTATAATTAATTATTTAACAATTACTAATGTTTGTGTATTATATTGTTTGTAGATTTGGATATTTGAGGCTTTTCCCGGCATGCAGACATATGCATTAAAAGCTTCAAATGATATTTCTAAGGCTATTTCCTGGAAGAGAAAACGACGGCTGTTGGATTGGGAAGAGTTACTACGGTATACGACAATAAATGATGTAAGTTAACACAAATACTACCATATATAAACAAGTTATTACTAGTACACGTTTAACTTTGTTTGAGCTTTTATATTGTTAGGAGGCCAACACTCCATTACAGAGGCTGACACCCACGGAGGCTGAGCTTGCCACTGATTGGTGGCAAGCTAGTAAGCGTTTTTTTGATGGCATAGATGATGAGCAGCCTCCACTTCGAGAGCCATCAGCTCACCCAGAGCCATCACCTGATCGACCACACTATACACCTCTACAACGAGAGCCATCACCTATTCCGTCACATCATCGAGCCTCTTCTCCACTATTACCTCATGATAGGCGACCGGCAAAGATGCCACGACATTTATCTCCCTGTTCTCCACCTCCACCTTCACGGGATGAGTTATGGGAGTTACGTGATGAGGTCAATGCCTTGTGTGAGGAGGTCGGTACTTTACGCGATGACAATGGTGCATGGCGTGATGAGGTATCTACTTTACGTGGTGAGGTAGCCGCTCTACGTGAGATGGTAGCATCGTTGTAGAATGAGGTTCATACTCTACGCAACGAGGTAAGTTTAAGATTTTTCATATTTAACTTGATTTACTCGTAATTTCACTTAGATTAACCATTTCACTTAGATTGCTTAGTAAATTCATTCGGTTGCTGCCAATACTGTAAAACAGTTCTAAAATAACCTTGTGAAGTTAGTATTTGTCTTTATTTTGTCTTTTGGTTGAAGTAATGCAATCCATTCAAGTTTCAATTTTGCAGAAGAAGAATAGTCGCAACACGAAACTTAAAATCGCAACGCGAAAATGACTATCGCAATGGGATAATCGCAATGCGAAATAAAAATCGCAACGTGAAAATCGCAATGCAAAAATGAAAATCGCAACGCGAATTTAGTTTCGCGTTGCGATTTTTATTTCGTATTGCGATTATCTTGTTGCGATAGTCATTTCCGCGTTGCGATAGTCATTTTCGCGTTGCGATTTTAAGTTTCATGTTGCGATTTTAAGTTTCAGAAACTATTCTTCTTCTGCAAATTGAAACTTGAATGGATTGCATTACTTCAACCAAAAGACAAAGACAAATATTAACTTCACAGTGTTGCAAATTTAAGTTTCAAGAATAAACTACTACTCTTTATGTTGTCCTTGAACATGCACTAAACCTATATGTTGTCATTTTAAATGTTTATATAAGTGCTTACTTCTGGAATGTTATCTGATGCATTTTGTGAACTATGATAGAATAATGACTTGGGTGAATACCGTGCAAGTTTGAAACATATTTGTCTTTGTTTTCACTGTTTAATATCATGTCTGTTTATTTACTCATTT